TTTGGAGACAGGGCTTTAAAGGAGGTAATTATTGTTAAATGGGGTCATAAGGGTGGGGCCCTAATCCAACAGGACTGGTGTCCTTCTAAGAAGGAGGAGAGACACCAGGGGCATGCACACACAGAGAAATGGCTGCGTGAAGACACAGGGAGCAGGCGCTGTCTGCAAGCACGGAGAGAAGTTTCCACCCTGCTGGCACTTTGCCCTTGGAGCTCCCATCTCTAGAACAGTGAGAAAATAGATGTCTGCTGCTGAAGCCACTCGGTCTGTGGTATTTTGTTACGGCGGCCCAAGCTGACTGACACAAGCAGGGTCTGTGATTCTGCATTTCTAACAAGCTCCCAGGTGATGCTTCTGCTGACCGTGCTTCGCGTAAAGGGGCACTGAGCAATGACTGCAAAAGTGGTGGGATGATGAGGGATTTGACCTCTCTTCCTTTTGCTCACTGATGTCTTCCACACTGCAGATGTCTTACTTTTTTTTTTTTGCTGAGGAAGAGTTTCCCTGAGCCAACATCTGTGCCAATCTTCCTCTATTTTGCATGTGGGTCGCCGATGAGTGGTGTAGGTCCATGCCCTGGAACTGAACCCGGGCCGCTGAAGCGGAGCGCACCGAACTTAACCACTAGGCCACAGGGCCAGCTCTGAAGATGTATTACTTTTGAAACAATGAGAAGAACTATCCCTTTCTTTTGGATATCTCTCTAAACTTTTCTAAGAACTCTCAAAAGCAATATATCATTTGATCTAGAGAGAGGCTGGTCAGAAAGATACCATCCTTCTCACCACATAGAGGTGGAAACCGAGCCTCGTTAAGGGTTCATACTAGAAGGAGCAGCCACAGACAGCTCGCAGAGGATCCTGGCTTCTCCCTGGTGTCACTGCACAGAGCGCACAGGCTTTCACCTACAAGCAAAGGGGCAGCATAAGCTTGGGGATGCTCTAGCCAGCCAGAAATGACTTTAAGTGGAATTCCAAGGGCCCGAGCAAGCAAGGTGCACTCTCCTCACTCTCGAATCTGGGGTGTCAGGACTGCTGATGGTGAACTGCATTTTGCTACCGTGGACTGGTTGCCTGCTCGTCTCCTCTCCCCAGGATACACCTGCTCCTGGGAGAGTGAGACGCACTGTGGTTATCCTCGCCCTGCTTCGCAGAGATCACTTTAGATGGGTTAGGAGACTGAGACTTAAAACGGGCTGGAGCCCATCTCTGCAGCCCTTTCATAACGCGGCCTCCACTCACTGCAGCACCACAGATCTCTCCCGAGCACCTGTTTTGTTCCTGGCCTGGGGCTGTGCATCCTCACGACAGCTCCGTAGGCACTATCATCATCCCCATTTTGACAACGAAACTGAGTCCCAGATATCCTGCGACGTGCCCAAGGTGTCTCTTCTAATAAGGGGAAGAGGCAAGACTCAAACCTAGCTCTTTTTGACTCAAAAGCCCTGTTTCGTTTTGTTTCTCTTTTTTCCTCTCTTTTACTATAGCACGCAGGGCTACATCTTTGTGCAAATTAAGAAAAGGTGCCTTCCTCCAGGTGGAGGCAGCTCTGAGCCAGGTGCAAGGGGAGAAGGACTAGATTTCAGCCGACCTCCCCCCTCAGACGTTGTCTCACTGGGCACCTTTGTGGAGGGCACGGCCTGCAAGTCTGGTGGCCCCCACACCATACTCCACGAGGAGCCCCAGGTCCTGACTCAAGCCTTGCCATTCACTTGATATGTGACCGTGGGTAAGTCACTTCTCTCTGGGCTTCGGGGCCCTTGTTTGTAAAATAAGGTCATTGGTCCAGCCATCAAACATCTCTCCCAGTTTGAACACTTTTGTGAGCCTGTGCAACACTTTCTAAGATGGATTGAATTGCAGCACCAATTTAGCACACGGCTTTGATTCATTCTTTCCCTCTTCCATGACTGTCTGTCCCAGGAGATTGGAGCACCCATTGATGCCAAATTCAAACAACACCTATAGGGCCAGGCAGGTATGTAAATAAACAAAGCAGTCAAGTGTCAGAAAAATCATGCGGCTTTAAAATTTTTTCCCAACTTGAGACAAAAACGTAGTTCAGAGAACAATTTCTCTAAAGAGGTGCAAAAGCATAAAGAAAATAGCAATTGACGCTGCGTCACTGTGGAAGTGACAGTAGGGAGAGGTGGGGCCTGAGGCTAATGGAGGAGGCCTTGCCCTGTCCAAGGGAGCAGCTGCTATGTAGGAAGGCAGGCCCACTGTTTCGAGAGCTTCTGCTCTATCAAAAGAAGCTGGAAATCTAGACGTTTATGTAAAAGCTCCTGATTTTTTAAATATGGGCTTACTTTTTTGTCTTTTAAACCCACTGCAGGTCAAAGAAAACATCTGTTTTCTACTTTTATCTTAAGTCTTCTCCCTACCCCCCAGGGCCGATAATCTTGGGAAATCTGGATACTCATTCATTCATTTATTAACTGTTCATTGAGTCCCTATTATACACTGGGGATTCTCAAGAGACAGCCTAGTTATTTCTTTCAGCTTCTTGGCAAAGCAAACAATTTAGTAGTTTTTATTTGAGCACATACAAAAAACATTAACTTATATATAGAAAGTACTTGTCTAAGCACAGGATCAGCGCTAAAAAATGATGAGGCTCATTAAAAGAAAACTTCACTTTTACTGAGTTGAAAATGAACAGTGAGTTCAAAAACAAGTTAATGTGATCTTGTTATTTTTAGAACTCAATGAAAGCATTGTTTTTTAATTAGCCTTGTTATTTTTAATCTGAATGTTAATTCAATGAGCATTTTCTTTAATTATCTTAATTGGTTTTAAATTGATTGTTTTTCAACTCACTAAAAGTGTGTTTAGCCTCCTGTCCCTTAAAATAATATCTCTTTATCAAGTATGTCTCTACTCTGGGCCGGAGAGGAAACAGAACACAGTAGCTCTCTGTTTTAAGAGTGCTCTGTTCAAATGTGTTTTAAAAAGTAAGTTCTGAGGCAGAGGCACAGCCAGGAGCCTGGCAGGGTGAGGAATAAGTCATTTTTGAACACTTACAACTACAGAATTATCACCAAGCAGGAGGGCGGTGAAGCTGCAATAGTTATAAGGATCGTTAATGATAATCATCATTAAGAACAACACGTATATTGTAGTTGTTAGGAAGACAGAAGTTAATAGTAAGTTTTTAATAGTAAAAGTTACGTAAATAGTTATTAATAGTAGATTATTAGTAGGAAGAGCTAACACCTACGAAGCTCTCCCCCTGTGCCGGACACCTCGCTCCCCAGAACTAAACAGGGCAGCTCTTAGTTCTTCCTTTATCATCGGGGAAACTGAGGCTCGGAGAAGCGATGTAAGTTGCATAAGACTGCGAAGGTACTGAGACATAGGGAAGGGGATTCAAACACGTGTTTATCTGCCTGAAGAAGAATCCCAATGTTCAGTTGTCCACAGCGGAATAAATGATGCAATCTTCCTTTCCTTGAATGCTTTCTGCTTTTCCAAGAAGAGAAGCAGAGACCAAAAAGATGAATGGGGCGTTTTACCTAAGACCTGTGGAAGAGGAAGCCGTTTAGTGCCCAAGGCCGATCTTCCCATGAAGCAAGGAACCCGTTACTTTCATACAAGCGACGGGGAAGGCCACACCCTGGTAGTAATGCTTTCTTTCTGACGGGTTTTAAGGCAGATCCTTAAAAGATTGCCGCGGAACTGCCTGGCCTGGCTTCTTGATGCAAAGCTGCTCTGAAGCCCCAAGCTGGCGCTAGAGCAGTGGGTGAGCCCGGGAGGTCTGGACTGCAAGAGAGGGTGCAGGCGGGCTTTCTCCCCAGGCTGGTGTGCGAGAACGCCCCAGCAGCTGGCGTTCCACGAGAAAGTTTGTTACTGCCACGATTTCTTTTCATCTTGTCATCAATAGTTTATCCATTTTCTCATAAATGGTGGCATTTACATAGCAATGCTGGAATATTCCTTGAGGAACAATTTCCAACGACAAGGTTAGATATAACATTCTGTTTGTCTTTCTTTCTCACTCTAGCTAGTTGGCTCATAAATCTATAATCAGGCACCACTAGTGTCTAGGAAACAGACACTTTCTAGAAGATCTGAGAGGCCAGACGTGTAAACCTACCACTTTCTTGTGCTTCCTTGGACAAAGCCTCAACATCCACCTCTGTAAGAAGGAAACACTGATGTTTTCACGGTAGAGTGGTTGGGAGGCTAAAAATAGAGAAGATAGATGGGAAAGTTCCTAGCACACTGTCTGGCACATATTAGGTACTCTCTGTCTTCCCTTCTCTTCCCCCTTTCCTGACTGTAAGGGGTGACAAACCTCACAGTCTTATTCATTCTGTACATAGAGTGAGTGTACATATTCTGTGGGTAAAGTATTAAGATGGATTTTTCCAGAGTGCCTACTGGAAATCACACATGGCTCCCTCAGTACATTTCAACATCCTCCCTGGACGGTTTCTCTCGGTGGCTTGGCACAGGTCCTACCTTGGGTGGGTGGGCGTGGCTGGGGCTGTCCAAGGGGAGGTCCCAGCTGGGCTGGCCCAGGGGATTTTGCTGGTTTAGCCTGCGGACCCTAGAGCAGGAGAAGAGAAAAGAAGCCCGATGTGATCACCACAGCCATTTACTTCCTGGGAGGGAGGGCAGGATTTATAAAGATTTTTTCATTATTGAGGTAAAACTGACATAAAGTGCACAATTCTTAAGCGTACAGCACAATGAATTTTTTACACGTGTACACATCCGTGTAACCACTGCCCAGATCAGGATAGAACATTTCCAGTGGAGAAGGCTGCCCCGTGCCCCCTCCCAGCCAGCAAGTCTCCCAAGTATAACCATTATTCTGATGCTGTTTTTGTGGGGAAAGAGAGGAGCAGGTTTTGATACTTGCTTTTCCAGAAAGCTGGGAGCTAGCAAATTCTTTGGAGAATGGTCTGGTAATCCGTGGTGAGGATTGTGGAGGGGAGGAGCCATGTGGGAGCTTGTCAAGGTTGGGGGATGCGGAAATGGAAGACACAATAGTGTCTATTGACTGGTGCCCTGAGAGCACACAAAGGGCATGTATGTACACACGCCCATGCATGCACACATACAACCACACACACACACACACTGCTCTCTGCTCAGGCCCAGGGTGGAGGGCACGGAAGGGATAGCTGTCTTCTCACCTTCATAATCTCTGCCCACAGATGCCCAAAGCCCACCTGAGGCAAGGTTTTCCTCCCCAGGAAGGTGGAGGGAGGAAGGGTCCCTCAGTCTCCCGGGCTCCCCCATCAGGAGCAGGTAGAAACTCTCCCCCATGCCCAGCCTCTGTCCACACCCCATTCCCTTCTCCCCATGGTGGTTCCTCCCGGGGGTATCTCCTTTGGATCCGGGCTCCCCATTCCCAGACAGCCCAGCATGTCTCATGACTACAAAGTCTCCTTGCTCGCAAGGACCTTACCCAGGGCCTCAGGGGCGAGGGCACTGTGCCCCCTGGCATCAGGAACTGGCTCATTTTGGAGACAGCGAGGTCGGCCATCAGTTGTTTGTCCTCTTCCACGTGCTCTCCAATCAGGGGCATCGAGCTGTCCATCACCTGCGGGAGAGAGGAGGCCTGAGGGACCCCCATGCCAGAGAAGCCAGGCAGCAGGCTCCGTGCTCAGGACAGAAGTGACCACTAGATGGCGATGTTCTCCATGCAAACACCTAGCCCAGCGCCTCCAGCTGGGAATGACCCCCCGAGGAGACACCCAGTTCCCTGCAGTTCAGTCCAAATCAACTCGCTGGATTCAGTTCAATTCAGCCTACACTCGCTGGACTCCAGAAATGCGCCCGAGGGCCAGGGAGCCTTTGCTGACCTTTTCTGCTCTTTTCTTTGGGGAGCTGGTCTCCGCCCCCTCCTTTCCCACCTTGGCCCCTTGCCCAGGGTCAGGGCTGGCCTCCTGAGCTTTGGCCCAAGGTCAAGGCTTTCCACAAAGCCGGAAGCAGTGAAGGTGGGGGCTCCATTCTGACAAAAAAATGACACGGGCTCGAGTTGACCCAGGGTTCAGAGAGAAGAGGGAAGAGGAAAGAAACGTTCTCCCGGGCTCTGGCAGAACCAACGGCTGGAGAAAACTCATTCCACAGGGAGCAGGCTGCCTCTCGGTAGAGGCAAAGCTTGCATATTGAGAGGGGCCTGAGAGATCATATGTTCCCATCCTGCTCTTTGCAGCTGGGAAACTGAGGCCCAGAGAAGAGAAGAGACTTGCCCCAAGTCACATAGGTCAACGGTCCAGGTGACTCCCCAGGCATGGGCAGCTCTAGAAGGTCTTGCAGGGGAGTGAGGCCTTGGTGGGCCCGCTCTCGCCTCCTCTGCTGTGGGAGTCCAGCCCTGTTCACCACCCCACCCCATCAAACGCACTGCCTTGTTTCCCCTTTACCCAAGCTCTGGCCTCACCAGGTTCTCTCTCCCGTCCAGGTCCCCATACATGCCATTCTCTCTGCTCCCTCTCTACCTGGCTAACTCTCATCTACCAGGAGACACCCAGCTAGCCGTCTTCTGGAAAGCCCTCTTTGACTGAGCAAACCCCGAGGAGCCACCTCTCTTCTGTACTCCCACCGTCCTTTGTTCAACAGCTTTCCCCACAGTGCTGTCATCTCCTGTTTACCCGTGTCTCCCCAACCACACTGTGGGCTCTGAGGTCAGGGATGGGCCCTGCGTCCTGTGAAACAGGTATGCCAACAACCACCTGCTGAATGGAGGAATGAACAGTCCTTTCAATAAGCCCTGCGCATCATGATAAGGATCCTAACAAGTGCTGTATTTTATTGAGCACTTACTATGGGCCAGGCACTGTTCTAAGAAGTGGGTGTGGATGATCTGCACAAATCTCAGAATAGCCTTTGGAGGCAGGTACTATCATTACCCTCACCATAATGATGAGGAAGCTGAGGGTCAAAGAAGCAGCAATTTGAAGGACACACCGCTAGCAAGCTGTGGTCCTTCCATTTCTCACCAAGCACTGAAACAGCTCTCTGCGGTAAGAACTGGACACAGGAAGCCTGAGTTCCAGGCCTAGGTTCTTCTGTGGACTTGCTGTGTGATCTAGGGCAGGTCACTTTTCCTCTGTGGGCCCATTGTTTTCCTCAACTGCAAACTGAGGGGTTTGGGCAGCTGAGAAGACCCTTCCAGCTGGGTCTTTTAGGTCCCACTGTAGTTGGGAAGCTGGAAAGCAAACTTAAGGATGTGAATGCTGATTCTAGCACAGTCCTGAACACTGTCCTCTAATAGAGCTCCTCGTGGGCTGGGCCTGGGTCCTTGGCATCCCGGATCCCAGGCCTGGCACATGGACAGTCTCTTGATCCACGTGGGCCGAGCTGAGTTCTAACCGTGGAGTGTGTCTAAATGTGCACAGGCCTGTCCTTCCCCCTCCACCCCTGCCCACCCCTCTCTGTTCTGGTTTCTGTTTCCGACATTCCCCGCAGTGGAAAACAGCCACCCAAGGAAGGAGGTCGGAGCGTTCTGGAATCCCCACGGTGGACACAGTCTAAGGAAGTGGACACTCCGGTCTCCCCAGGGAAACATTTTTCCACTGAGCAATGTCATTCTCTGGACAGGTCATGGAGGTCAAGTACAAGAGTCTTTCCCCTGAGTATTGCGTGAGGATCTTCACAAAACATGTCACACAAATTTTATGTCCTCACCACAGAGGTGGCTGAAGAAATCAGTATTTTTGGATCTCTTCTGCCTTTTTTTCCTGACTGGGGAAAATACCTTTTCTCTTCTTGGTAGCAAGCTCCCCATCTCCCTTGATCCCACTCCAAACCCCAAAACAAAGGAAATAATTCTGCAATGTTTTTGAGAAAAAAACAATCTGAAAAGCCATCTTTTTTTTTTTTTTCTGGAACATTTTTGAGAAGTTGTTTTCTTGTTTTTGAAAGTCCAAACCCACTAATTTTGCTTTTTGTTTTAATGTGAAAGGTCTTTCATCCTGGACACTCTGAATGTCTGGAGGCAGGGAGCCTGGGCCCACGGGTACAGAGTTTTGTTGCCTAAGAGAGAAAGTTGAGGAAATTCAGCGAGGCAGGAGCTCTTGGGGGCAGAGATAATGTCAATGCAAGGAGAAGGGGCAAAACTCAGAGGACACAGCGGGAGGGGAGAACAGGAGACCTGCATCTGCTGATTGCCAGTCACCTCTCTAGATGGAAGCCCTAGGAGGCAGGGTCCCAGCCACCATGCTCGCTGCTGTCGCTCCGTTCCCCGGCTTGGGGTCGGGTGCTCACGGTAGGGGCTCAATAGTGAAGGAATAAATGAATGACTGTGTGTGTGCCAAAGCCGAGTTCATGTGTGGTGGTCCCCATGAGGAGGTGCAGAGGTAGGAGGGCCAGGAGGGGTCTCAAGAGTTGCAGTGCCCCAGGCAGGAGGGCCTGGGCCCATCCTTAGTCTGAAGCTCCCAGGGCATCCTCAGGATGGTGGGGACTGGTCCCTCCAGGGAGCAGCCTGGCTCTGGCTCAGAAGCAAGTACGCAGGCCAGCAGTTCTGCTCCTGGCCCCTTCAGTGTCTCCTCTGAGAAGAGGCCACTGGGGGAATTTCAGGTTTGGTGGCAGCCAGAGGGAAAGCAGTTCCTGGACTTGAGGGGAGAGCTGTTTTCCAGGGCAGGGCTGAACCTGCAAACACAGATACAGCTCATTCATGGGAGCTTCCTGCCTTTCTAGGGAGGGCAGGGGGGCTGTGTCCATCCTGGACTCCCTCCCCTTCACCTCCAAGGGTGGCCGCTCTCTGGGCACAGGTGTGATGCCCTCCTGGCATGGCTGGGGGACAAGAGCAGGGCTCCCACCCATCGAGTCACCGGGTCCTGCCAAGCTCTGGGTCCTGGGGAGGGGCGCAGACATGCGGGACTGGAGGACTGGCTGGCTCCTGTGGTCACCCCAGCCATGTGCTTCCCATTAGCTGCCCACAGCCCGGGGGGGCCAGCCGCAGAGCTCTCCCTCACGTGTCTTGGCCTTGTGTCAGCACCGCCCCTCTGCTGTGGTTTGAGGAGAAGGCCATGGCAGGGGAGTGCCGGAAGGACTCTGCGGGGTGTGAGTGTGGAGATGTGAAGCTGGGGAGGGAAGGGAGAGCTCTGAGGCCACAGGGGCACTTTCAGGGGAAAGCAGCAGAGAGCCATGAGCTGGGGGGTGGGGGTGGGCAGTGCAAGGAAGGGAACTGAGGAGGGGAGAGGCGGATGTGGGACCAGGAGAGACACAGGGGTCATGGGGGAGAGAGGGGGATTGTGGGATAGAGGGAAGCGTGGAGAGGAAGTTGGGGGTAGAGGAGGATCATGGGACCAGTAGAGACACAGAGGGGTCATGGAGGAGAGGGATTGGGAGAAACACAAAGCGGGAGTTGTTTTGGGGGTAGAGGAGGATTATGGGACCAGGAGAGAAATGGGAGGAGTCATGGAGGAGAGAGGGGGATTGTGGGACTGGCAGAAGCACAGAGAGGAAGTTGGGGTTGGGGGTGGTGTAGGACCACAGAGACATGTAGGCGACAGTCCTGGAGGACGGCAGGGGGTTGTGGGCCTGTGAGAGGTGTGGGCTGCGGGAGGGCTGGGGGAGAGATTCCAGGACCCACAGCCCCTCTCGAGCTTCTCTCTCACAATGATCTTTCCCTCCACTCACACCCCTGCACGGCTGTCCCCTTTCCTGACCTTCAGTGCCCTGCCATTACTTGTTTGTCACCATCTTCCCTGCCAGCCTGCACATGGCATGTCTGTCTTGTTCATGGCTGTGTCCCCAGAGCCGCCTCCATGCCCAGCCCGAGGGAGCCCCGAAGTACATGTTTGTTGAATGAACAGACGATGGACTCTCTGCATGGTAACCGGGGAAGTGTGCCCTCTTTACACACTCGGACGCTGAGAAAATTTAAGCGGCCCAACGGGACAGAATCTTGCTGAGTCTCGGCCTGATGCTCCTCCCTTACCCTTAGGCCCCCAGATTGGGGAAAGTTGTCAAACCTCATGCCCGGAGTTCTGGAGGCTCCTGGGTTCTGGAGCTCAGAACCCCCGGGCATTAAGGCTTTAGATATAGCCGGGGGTGGGGATGGGGAGGGACATGACAGTGGTGGATGAGAAGCCTCTGCGAGCTGCTCGTGGAGGCCTGGCCTGCATGTGCTCCAGTCACGAGCCAGACCACAGCTGACCATGCTGGAGGCCACAGTTGGCTTCCTTCCCTCTGGCATGCCTGCCCAGGCGCCAGCCCAGCCCGGGAGGACCTCCTCCTTCACCCCTCACCTCAATGATGTAATCTCTGCCATCCTTGCTGTGCACGGCCTTGACAGCGCAGATGTCCAGGCCGCCAAACATTTCTGAGCAGCTGTCTACCCACAGCCTGTACCTGCAGGGATGGACAGACAGACAGTGAGCATGGCGGGGGAGGGAGTAGAGAAGGGGGAGCAGAGGGAGAGGGAGGCGGAGAGAGATGGATAGAAACACACAGAAAAACAGGGCGTCAGACAGACAGTGACACACAGGCACCCATCAGAGTTGGAGAGAGAGGATAAGAAATAACAAGAGACAGAGATGCAGCAAGAGAGACAGTAAGACAGAGAGAGACAGAGACACCGAGAGAGACAGAGAGGCACTGGGAGAGACAGGGACACAGGGAGGGAGAAGCAGGAGAGCGAGGAAGGCAGTGAGAGAGACAGAATGGGTACAAAGGGAGGCAGAGACGTAGATGGACAGTGAGAGAGAGACAGAGACAGGGAGAGAGAATAGAAAGGGAGCCAGGAAGGCAGGAGAGAGGCAGGACGAGGAGGAGAAGGAACGAGAATTGGGAGAGATCTCGGAGACCCGAGCCACCTCTCGCCCCACCAGGACCTTGCTGGCTCCCCAGTAGTGGGGTCTTGCCTTGCCCCCATCCAGAGCCATCCCGGACACCCAGCCGCCCTGCAGTCCTTCTCCCTTGAGAAAGCTGCTCAAGGGTTCCAGAAATACCTCCAGGCCACCCTACCAGCCCCAGCGCCAGGGTCAGACAGAGCCTGCGGGGGACAAAGGGCTCATTCTCCCCTGAGCCTGGGGGCGGGCAGGCAGGGGAGCCTGGCAGGCTGCTCCCTCGAGGCCGGGGGCCTGGCCCTCTGGACCCGCTGCTTTTGTTCTCTTTCCAGCCACTTGATGGCTGCAAGGCCAGTTTGCTTTGCCGGGGAAAGATCGCAACGCTGGACTTTGACCCTGCAACAAGGGGATGCTTGTATCCGGAGAAGTCTTCCCGGGCTTGCACTTGGCGTCCCTTGTGGTGGCTGGATTTGGGAGTCACAGGGGAATTTGTGTCAACGTTCTGGCTTCTCTCTCCACTCTCCAGGGTCACACGGGGCACGCCTGCTCTGAGATCTATTCGTGTCTGTGAGCCATAAGGCCTGGAATGAGGAGAGATCATGGCTGAAGTGCTCTTGGAATCAGCACTCTCATCTTATCTGCCAGTGCCCACTGAGGCCCAGAGAGGGAGAGCAGCTTGGCCAGGTCACACAGCATGGCAGTAACAGAGCCAGGACTGCCAAGATCTCCTGGCCCTTAGTCCAGTTCTTTCTTCCAACTGTAGCAAGGAGCATGGGAGATCATAGAAGTAGAAGGAAGGATGAAAACTCACGCCTATTGAGGTCCTATGATGCGCCAGGCAGTCTGTGGGGGGTGGACTCCTCATTCTATCTAACCCCCACAACAACTCTATCAGGAAGGTTTAACCCATTTTACTGATGAGGACACTGAGGCTCAGAGGTTAATGAGTGACTGTATCTGCTTCCAGACCCAGATCCTGTCTGATTCCACGGTCCACGCGAGCCACTCTTCCTGCAGTCAGAGCACATCCCAGCCTCTTCTCCCTCAGCGCTGAGACCAGCGCCCTGGATTCTTGCTATCAATTTCCTCTATAATTTTGGGCAAGCCTCTCCCTCTTGCAGCCTCAGTTTCCTTTTCTGTGAAATGGGAAGGCCTGATTCTGGTTGTGCATCAGAATCACCAGGAGAGTTAAGCAAACAAATATACAAATAAACAGCCAGATTTGGGGGGGCCCACTCTACGTTAGAATAACCTCTATAGGTTTTTAAAGCTTCCCGTGTGATGCTGATGTGCAGCCACATGGAGGAAGACCTTTGGTCCTTGGAGCTCTGAGAGCCCCCGGGGGCCTCTGATCAGGGTCCCTGTATTTGGCTCCAATGGCTGACTGGCAGGGCACCTCCAGCTTAGGGAGACCTGCGTCCTGAGACACACTCACAAATCAGGTTTCTTCTCAACAGAAGATGGAAGTCTGGACTAGGCCCAGAGGCAACTGGCTTCTAGAGGCTGTTTTCAAATGATGCACTTCTGGGTCAGCTACTGGCTGCACTCCATGGGGCATAGGATTCCTCATCCCCCCGACCAGGGCCAAGGAAGAGACTTCACGGTGGAGCCATGTGGGAGGGACTGGAGAACATGCGGTCGGTGCTCCCCTCCAGCCAGGTGGGACCAGCACCCACGAAGCCACATCACTGGCGTCGTCCAGCAGTCAGGCTACCTGGCAAGTGGGTGAGCCAGGTGGAAGGAGGGCCAGAATCACAGAATTTATGGGCCCCAGGGAATCTTCTCCTGTGGAGATGGAACTGGGGAGCTGTGTCCCAGGCCTTGGGGGACTGCCCATGTCTTTGCAGAAGGGAAAGTAATTCCAGGTCTGAGCAGACCACTTGCATGGGAGGCCCCTACAGGGATGGCCCATGTGGCCTGGGACTGAGCAGAGCCAGGGAGACGGTGGCCTGTTGGAGACATCCGTGAGCAGCTCAGGAGGCACTGGAGAAGGCTGGGCTCACATTCTGGAGAGGCTGTGGAGAATAGGGCCACGACTGTCCCACGCATGCCCACCGGGGGAAGGATGTGACAGCCCCAGGCCAGATGGTTCAGTTGTGCCAGGTGAGGAGAACAAGCCCTTTGAGACAAGGTAGCATAGGTGGGTTCCCAGAGTGAAGGGAGGTGCTGACACCTGCGGTTGACAGGAGGGGACGGAAGCCATGTTTACTGGCCCCTTCCTGCCACGGGCCAGTACTGGGTCAGGTACCGAACATCCCTCTCTCATTCAGCTCTCTGACTTGAGTATTATTACCTCCAATTTACAGTTGAAGAAGTTCAGAAGGGTTAGTTAACTTAACCTAGGTAACACAGCTTGGAAGGGGCAGGACCACTCACTTTCGTTCACACTGCTTCCTCAGCTTAGAGCCCCTGAACTGGAAGTTCCATGAGGGCAGGGACTATGTCTGTCTTGTTTGCCACCATTTCCCCAGGGCCTACCTCAATTACCGGCTCCCAGCTGGTGCTCCACAAATAACTGACAAAGAAAGAAACGAATACCTCCCAACCCCTCCTCATTCTTTACAATGTGATTCCGGCACCACCTCCTTCAGGAAGCCTTCCCTGATCTCACCTCTCCCTAGTCTGTGCTGGGTGCCCTTTCTCTGTGATCCCACTGCAAGCACCCAAGGCTCACTTTCACCCTAAGATTACCATACTCTTTGTCTCCTTCATTAGCTGGGGAGCCAGGAATAGCCCTGTTATTTTAGCCTGCACAATGCTTATTTTCCCTCCTACTATACACTTCCTGATATTGGTTGGCGTTACATCCCTCCCTAAGCCTCACTCAGTCATCACTGCTAGAGCTGGATGGTCCCCTCCAGTCTAGGTGCGGAGACAAGGACACAGGCCTATCCAATCACAGCACTGCTGCTATCTGGGCCATAGTGATTGGTTCAGGGATGATCATGTGACCTAAGCAAGGCCAATCAGTGAACAAGGCTCAGTTCAGGCTTTGACTGAAATGGTGGGGTGAGAAGTTTGCTTTCTGCTGGACTCACACTGTCGGGACGTAAGCCTGGACCGCTATGGGCCACCGTATAAGCCAGCCAGGATGAAGCCACCATAGAAGAAAGCTGAACTGAGGTGGGAAGAATGAGTCTGAAGCCTTACCTGGAGCTGTGCTTCTGCAGTTGTCGTTGCCAAAAGCCAATAAATCCCCCTTCTGGCTCAAATCAATCTGATTTGTGTTCTGACATTTGCAACTGATAGAGAGATCTTGAAGGAAGGGATTGGATCTTCTCCTCTCGGCCTCTTCAGTGCTCAACACAGGTGGCATGCAGTAGGCACTCAATAAATGTTCACTGAGCAGACCGTTCTGACCCTGAAGCCCACGCTCTGTCCTGACTGCTGCATGCTTGCCTGCAGAGCTCACTGGGCATGCAGGAAGGATGTGTGTGTGCTGCTGGCCCCGAGAGCAGGTGACGGGCCCTTCTTCAGGTGGGATGGCTCGCAGCGGTGTTTAAAGGGAGGGAAACCTGAGGGTGTTTCAGCCAGAGCACACCCCTGCCACACTCATGATTTGAAGGAAATCAGCCTCTCCGTCCTCATATTAAGATGGAAATAAGTCCGAGAGAAGAGTGGACATTCCAATACCCCTGGTGCCCTAACAAGGATGCTTCCATGCAGCTGTCAGAGCAGGGAGGGACTGGTGAGGACTCCCTGCTCTCTCTCTCTGCAGCAGCTGGGCAGGGCCGGAAGGACCCCTGGACGTGGAGTGTACACATCAGGGTTCTACTCTCAGCTCTGTCATTGACCAACTCTGGGACCCTGAATAAGTCACTTTCCCTCTCTGAACTTTCTTCTCCCATCTGCACACTGGGGTTATTATAATACCAGCCCTGCAGGTCGTTGTGGGCAGTAAAGGGGGCCATGCCTAGGAAAGTGCTCTGTGGGTGTGAGACACTGGCCAGAGGGTGAGGTGGCATTCTTACAGGCTCCTTGTTGTATCCCACACCCACCTCCCACTATGGCCAGTGTCTCTCCCTATCCACCTCCTTTGTCTCTTACCTCTCTGTCATGGCCACCTGCTCCAGCATGGCAGAGCCTGTGTTGGCCTTCCAGTTTCCAGAGATGGAGGTTCTCCTGTACCAGAACAAATAACACAGTGAGGGCAGTAGGGACACTTGTCACTGATATGCTTTCCTTCTTTGCTTTGGCTGTTAGGAGTCTCTGATTCAAATATCTGGCTCACATTATGGCCTGTATTCTTAGGTACACATCCCGTCATCAGCTTTATTTTTCTGTTTTTATTTCCCTTTATGTTGACTGCCTTATTTGTTTGATCTTGTGTGACTTTTTCTAAGCCATCTTTGAAATCTAAAATTTGAAATCTAAATTAAAAAATGCCTATACCATCAGATGAAGTCTTCCAAATCTTGGCCTCCTGTTTCTGAGAAGGGGAACTAGGGCAATATAGCCCCTGGTGAATCTTGAATTTTTTGAGAGCCCCAAAATGTAGGAAAAATGATCCATGGAGAGAAGTGATTACTTTCCCATGGTGAAGAGCAGGAGGGCCTTCTGGCCTCATCACCCTCTCTGTTCCCTTGCCTTTTCTGCTCCAGCAACAACTGAGCTCCCTTCCAATGCCCATGGCTCTTTCCCATGTCGAGGCCTCCACACACCTTCTTCCCTTTGCCTAATCCAGTCTTCGTTTCCATCTCTGCCTCCCTAAGTCCTACTCATCCTTCAAATTTCATCTGAAATGTGACTTCCTGACAGCCCACCTTCCCCAACAAGAGTAGAGCCCCCTACACTGCACCCTATGCCAATGTTTAGTAATGCTCCTCTCACTGCAATGACTGCTTTAGTGTCCTGTCTCCCCTGAGGGCAGGGGACATGTTTGACTCAGCCCCCGTATCCCCAGTATCTAGCGGGACCTGGCATGTAGTAAGTGCCCAGTAACTAGGTAAGGGACGGTGTATACTGGGGAAAGGTCAGACAGACTATCTCCATTGGCATCTCTGGATTCAGCAAAGGCTGAAAGGATTTAAGCAAAGTGGCAGAGGTAAAGCGATTTGTTTTGTGGCCAAGGGAAGGCATGTGGTTGAGATTAAAGGGTGAACCAGGGAGAGGAATTGCTATAAAAATATGTCTTTCTAAAAGAGAAAACGAAGTGTATCTGAGGGCAGCAGATGCTGAGAATAGATGGTGGCCAATAGGTGCAGTGATGTTGATAAGCTTTATGTCAGTTCTGTTTACTTTAGTTCAGCTCAACTCAATTCAATTCAGTTTGCAAAACACTCACCAGGCCACCCTCTGTCCTGGGTAGTGGACTAGTCTGAGTGTGCAGAGATGACCCCTACCTCAGGCTGCTCACTACCTAGAAGGGTGGACTAGCCTAAAACCAGAGTATAGGCATGGTAGGGTTAGCAATATACATGAGTGAAGAGCTTTGGGGAAGCAAAGGAGAAATGGGAGACACTTAATATGACCCCAGAAGGTAACCATTGAGATAAGCTCTGGAGAATGAGTAGGATTTGGTATAGTGGGATCTGTATGGTGGTAAGAAGAGAAGGTAAGAACTGACTTCAGTCAGACAGATGCCAGTTTGAATCTTGGTTCCAGCATTTTCTAGCTGTATAACCATGGACAACATCTCTGAGTCCTTATTCTCTCATTGGTAAAATGGGAATAATTATAGTACCATCCTTATAGGGTGGACTAAATGAAATGTGGACTAAAGGAAATATTCCCATAAATCTCTTAGTACAATGGGTGCTACTATTATTTTTCAGTAAGTGGAGACAAGAAAAGAAGGCATCCCAATGCCAGAAGCAGCAGGAACACAAGCCAGATTGCTCTCCTTCCAAGAAGATAATGATAGTGAGAGCTGATATTTAATGAGTACTTTCCATGTCTGGGACATGAGTCTAAGGGCTTTATAAGCACTGGCTTATTTCATCCTCACAAAATCTAATGAGATGAACATTATTATTATTATCATTCCCACTTAGCAGCAGAAGCCACCAAACCATATCTGAGCAGCTCCATGCTCTTATCCATGACTCTCCATGGCAGAGCCTATCACGGGCTTGGGGAAAAGAGTCAGTTGGCCCAAATGCGATACAGCCACTGGAATGTAGGATGGAATGTAGACTGTGACAGAAGAATCTACCTACATGACAAGTGTATGCTGTTGACTCCCTCGTTGAAGAGGGTGGGGGTGGGTGGAAAGGTTTGACCTTAGTGACCTTGGAAATGAATGGAGGCCCTGTGACTAAATACAGAAGGAACCGTACATAAGCCCTGTACTGTAGTTGGTAGAGTTGTTTCTCATCAGGCTATCAGTTAACGGTTCTGTAACGCACCCGTATACCGGAAGTGAACAAATAAGTAAATTGATGGCAGATGGTGGGAGCTAGGTTTTCCCTGCTGGAGTGGGAAGTTATAGATAAGCAATCTGGGAAGGCTAAAATGAATCGTGTGGTACTAGATGAAAGTCTGAGGCATCAATATGAATTCTCTGTAGCTTTAGCTATCGCTGGATCTATATAGAAATAATCACAGATACGTGTGTCTGCATGGGTTGAGTTACACACATATATTTTCTAGCTCCGTCTGCTAAGAGGACCTAGAAATGACGACACCCCGGTAGCAACAAGCACAAAGGCCCGAGTGCAGGGCAGGAAGTGGGTCAGAAAGGAGGTTGAACGGTCGGGGCGGAGAGGGCATTGTACACTGAGGTCTGACACGAACCCCCTCCCTCGGATGCGGGCCAACCCAGGGTCCAGGAAACGCCATAACTAATGACAAATTGGAGCTGTCAGGGCAGAAAGGCTCAGCATAAAGAATGCGGCAATGAGGTAATCCTCAAGAAGAGAAACTGGAACAAGGTGTCGTCAATGTCAACTGGAAACTCGAACAATGAGGAGATGAGGGAAATGATATCATGACGGACCGTGGGGGCCTCAAGAATGCACTGGATTGCCGCACTGGAATGTTCCCTAACTTGGAGGGGGCATGGAGAGGCGATCTTATCACCCCGGGGGCATCTGAGAGCAGTGACAGGCCTGGCTTGGCTCATGGGTGCCAGAGAGTGACTGGCAAGACACGGCAGAAGTACTCCTGGAGAACTGGCTCCACACCTTTCCTGGGAACATTTCCCTGTAGGTCCACTCCCTGCACCTTCTCCAGCTTCCCAGGCAATGGCAGAGTCGGGTAGTTGCAACAGAGACTATATGACTTGCAAGACCTACAATTGCCATCTGGCCCTTTCCAGAAAAAGTTTGCTGACCCCTGGTCTAGGCAATCCAGACAGTGTAAGAGCAACCTTAGATAATACGTAAATGGATGTGTGTGGCTGTGATCAATAAAACTTTATTTACACAAACATGCGACAGCTGGATTTGGCCTGTGGGCTGTGGTCTGCTGACCCTGACCTAGAGCAGAGCTCCACCACAGAGAGGCACCTAGAGGGATTTCCAAGTGTCCAGACCCAGCCATTGCAGTCCTCAAATATGGAGCCATGCACACAGTCAGTGCTCCATAAATGCTTGGCAACAGGCGCCGGTTGGGTCTTGGGAGTCTCACTTCATGTGGAACCAACAATAACATTCCAAAGGCAGAAGCAGGGCTCGGAGCAGATAAGACCTCTCCAAGTATGGAGACTCCCACCTATTCAAAAAGTCCCTCTCATCCTTATAACCACAGCTCCAGGGTGAGTCATCCTGGGCATTCATTCCTTCCCCCTTCGTCACAGCGTCTCTATTTCCACTGGGGAACGACCATGCCCATATTGCATGCCATCTGGGTGGAACTCTCCACACTGGTTTTCTGCCTTTCTCTAACCAATAAGTATGTGATCAAAGTTGGACCAGTTGACATTGTTTCCATGGAACCACAGTCTTAAGTCCTGAAAATGATTAGTGCAGATTCACTTCTGAATGGAGTTGCTGTGAAGATTATTTATTACTTCCGGCTACCCAGATTCCTGGGGCTGCCCTGGATCCTAATATTTCTGAAATTGATAGTTTAGTGGTTTGTCTTTTCAAGTTTCTGACCACTCATGGTTTTCTAATAAATTCCCTTTAAAAAGCTCCATCAAATTAGTCAGATGTGGTTTCTGTTGCTTGCGGCTAGAGAAAGCTGATATGATCTCCTAACTGCTCTTACTGGTTCTGGAGAAACCCTTTCGCAGCCCGTGGCCCCAGAGCCGTCTTTTTATGAGTACAGGTCAGAGGATGCTACTTGTCTGTGCAAAAGAGAACAGAAGAAAATCCAAAACCCTCAGCAAGGCTTTCAAGGCCCTCCTTGATTTGTCCCCAAGTTTCTCTTTCAGTCTTGTCTTCTATGACACACACCTCGAATATACTGGAAGTTCCCCCAAACATGCTAAGCATCTTTCTTCCTCTGGGGGAAACAGCCCTCGTCTGGGTGGACAGATTTCTACCCTGGGATAAGCCATAACAGAACCTTAGCCCTCAGCTGGGCTGACCAGAGAAGAAGGGCAGTGGAGGAGACAGAAAGGGTGAGTATTGGGTGTGCCGGTGGGGTCTCTGCCCATCCTCCCGGGGCGGAGGAGACAGGGCTGGACATGCGCATCCTCCCACCCTGCCTCCCAGCTCCCCAGCCCCCGTCCAGGGACTCACATGTAAGCCTTGTAGTTGGACCCGATTTTCTGGATGCGGATGTCGTACTTGGAGTCGATGAAGGCCTCCGTGGTGGCATAGGTCTTGGCCATTGCCACCATGCTGGTGACGTCCTGGTAGTCATGTGCGTTTTCTACTTTGATCTGTGTGGGAGGATGAGGGGGTGAGCACCACCCACCCAGCATTCACCGAGCGCCTCCCCAGTGCCAGGACCCCAGTTCTCCGTACACGGTGACCTTCAAAAGGTCGCCTGCCTAGCGGGGGAGACAGACATAGCAAACAAGTCATTCCACTACACACCTGTAGAAAAGGAAGGGAGCATTCCATTTGGGTAGTCGAGGGAATCTTTTAGAGGTGAGCTCTGAGCAAGGTTTGGAAGAACAAAGATGATTCTCAGAGGGACTACGGAGCAGGGGCATTCTCTGGAGAGGACAGAGGATGGGCAAAGGAGGTGGGAGGAGCCTTATGAGGAGCGGGCTCGGGCAAGTGATTCAGACTGGCCGATGGGGCAGGAGGGTGGCGGACGGCTGCAGGGGATTGTCTGACGGGAACAGAGCGTGGAGGGCCTCAATAGCTCGGGTAAGGGGCTAGAATTTTAGCCTGAAGTCTCTGGAAAGCCACTGAAATTCTAAAGAGAGGCGTTTAAATAAGAAAGTAGCCTAATTTGTGTTTTAGAAAAATCATTCAAGCAGTTATATAGAAGGTTGAATGGAGGGATGTGATATGGGATAGACAGAGACCAGTTAGAAAGAAGGGAGTGTGTAGGTGTGTATGTGTGTGTGGTGTGTGTGTGTAGGGTGTGTGGATGTGGAGTTTGTGGGATACGTGTGTGTGTGTGGGGTGTGGGGTATGTGTGTGCGGTATGTGTAGTTTATGGTATCTATATGTGACGTGTCTGCATGTGTGTGATGTTCATTGTGTGTTGTGTGTGGTGTGTCGTATGTGGTGCTCATGTGTGCAGGCAGTGTGTGTGTTTTTGTGTGAGCATGTGTGTGTGCGTATGCACTGGACAAGGCTAGCTCTGCTCGGCCAAAGGCCTGGGGAGAAACTCATGCTGTTTACTGGGCTGAGGTCAAGAACACAGGGTGGTGCCCTGGGGTCAGGGAAGCGTCCCAGCAGAGCTTCCAAGGCCAAGGCTCCGTGATAGCGATCTCGAGACAGAACAGAGGCGGACTCCCAGCAGCTGTGGACAGCTGCGTGGGTGTCCCCTCCCCGTCACCTTCACCAGACAGCGGAGGAGTTCCGACACTGGGCCAGAGGTGGGCAGAGCCCAGATCCCTTGGAGGCGCCAGGTGGGGCTGGGCAGCCTGTCCTTCCATCCTCTCCTTCTAGCCCTTTCCTGCCCCTCCCTTCAAGGCTCAGCAGTGCCCCGACAACTCCATCCCTCCAGGATGACGCCCATCCACATCTGCCCCAACTTCGCAACTTACAAAGCATCCGCATAGCTCTTCTGTGGGGCCCAAAACAGGACTGTGAAGCAGGCAGGGCGGGCGTTATGATGGCCGTTTAGCAGATGTGGGAGCTGGGATTCCTCGCCTTGTCCAAGGCCCTAGAGCAGCTAAGCACAGAGCTGGGAAGGAAACTCAGGACTGCCAGAGCACAGCTGTTCTTTGAAGCATCTCAGGCTATCTACAAGTGCATGCCTGCTGTTCCACCCAAACAGATCGTAAACAAGGATGAGACAGAGGCTTGGCAGCCCTTCTCTCTTCTCCGCTCTCAGAGAGCCCCAGCCTCACAGCGATGAGTCTAAGCCCCACTTTGCAGAGAAAGCAAAGCTGTCCAGGCAAGAGTTCCCTATTTTCCATCCCTTTCCAAGCTCATCCACTTTCCCACTTCTTCCTCCCGGCTCCTCCCACTTATGGCGGAACCTATCCTTTGTTCTAAGTCCTCTAAGGCTCTGACTGCTCCTTGTCCCCTCCTCCTTCAGTAATAAGACCCCTAAGTTTTATCTGGGCATTTGATCTCTTAGCTGAAGATTACTTTGTTCCCGAGTCTCCAAATCTGGCCAATGAAAGTGTGAGCAGACATAATGTGAGCAACCTCTGGGTGGTGCCTTTAAGACAAAGGGAATCTTCTCTTTCCCTTTTCCTTCTCCTACCTGGCTGGGATGTAGACATGATGGTGGGGGCTGGAGCAGCCATTTTGGACCACAAGATGGAAGCCCCATGTTGAGGATGGTTGAGTAATAAGGTGGAAGGAACCTAGATTCCCAACACCATGGAGTCCTTGATCAACCTTTGACTGTGTATGCTCAGACTCTTACATGAGAGAGAAGTAAACTTCAATCTTTTTTTTTTTTTAATAATTTTATTTATTTATTTTTTCCCCCCTAAAGCCCCACTAGATAGTTGTATGTCATAGTTGCACATCCTTCTAGTTGCTGTATGTGGGATGCGGCCTCAGCATGGCCAGAGAAGCGATGCGTCGGTGCGCGCCTGGGATCTGAACCCGGGCCGCCAGCAGCAGAGTGCACGCACTTAACCGCTAAGCCACGGGGCCGACCCCTTCAATCTTTTTTAATTGACTGTTATCTTAGTCTTTGTTAAAGCAGCCCAACTATATTTCTGCTGTGTATTTTTAGTCCCCTTCTGTTTTTTTTGCTGAGGAAGATTCACCCTGAGCTAACTTCTGTTGCCAATCTTCCTTTCTCTCTCTTTTTTGGCTTGAGGAAGATTAGCCCTGAGTTAACATCTGTGCCAGTCTTCCCCTATTTTGTATGTGGGTTGCCACTACAGCATGGCTGACAAGTGGTGTAGATCCGTGCCTGGGATCTGAATCTGTGAACCTGGGCCACCGAAGCGGAGTGTGCCGAACTCAACCACTATGCCATGGGGCCTGCCCTATTTTTGCTCTTCATTGATTCTTCATCCTTTGGATCAACATGATCATGGACCCACTATGCTCAAATTGTTCCTGCTTTTCAATACCTCAGTTGCTCACTGCACTCTCTCTCTCTGCATCCTTATTTCCCACCCACTCCTAAACCCACTCTCTTTGTATTTCACTCTCCGCCGCTCCACTGAAATCGATCTGGCAAAGGTCATCTTGACCTCCTCACTGGAGAGTCCACTAGAGCTCCTTTGGCCCTCCTCCATCCATTTTGGTGGCATACGAAATCGGTGAAATTTTTGACACTTGGTTTCCATACCACTATTCTCTTCCTTTTTTTCTGGCAACTTCTTCACATTCTATATTGCCTCCTCTTCCTCCAGCTGCCCTTTGGGTGGTCATAGTGTTTTATCCTCAGCCAACATTTGGGATGCAGTGGAGAGAGTCAGAGTTACTGAAACGAAAGAATGGGTGTGAGAGCTTGCAGGGACAGCTTGTCTAATTCAGTTTCGTCACTGAGAGGCTCTGGAAAGGACCAGAACTTCTTCTGCTCTTGGTTTCCCAGACAGCACAGCATACACTGCAGGCTGTCTCAGAGACGTCCAGTTGTCTACAACATCCATTCTCTTCTTCTATAGTCATGAAATGCCCTGATCTGGGGGCACATGACCACCCAGAATAAATATTACATTTCCCCATCTCCCTGGTACCTGTGTGTGGTCATGTGATCACATTTTGGCCAATGGGATATGAGCAGAAGTGGGGTCTGAAATTCTTGCTGGCTGAGGTGAGTACCATCATTGACTTTGTGTCTGAAGGGCAACACCCCAGGAACGAATGATCATTAGGATGGAAGGAGCCTGGGTCCTTGAACCCAAGTAAGATCCACACCAGCCTTGGGCTGCTTTTGCCCAGACCATTATGTGAGAAAGTTCTAGCTTGTTTAAGCCACCTTAGGTCTTTGTTACAGCAGCTGAATTTTATCCCAATTATTATAGGAGCCCTGAGTAAATATTTGTTAAATGCATCATGCATGCATTCATTTATTCACAGGATAGACAAAAGAGAGCAAAGAAAGATAGTATAGACATGGTGGTTTAATTAATTAGTTAGTTAATTAATTAGTGGCCAGCCCAACTTCCCTTTGTGAAGCCCTCTCTCCTATCGTAGTCCGGGAGGTTTGGGTTGGGGGCGCTCATTCCGCCCTCTCCATGAGTGAGGACGTAGCCCAGGTCTCTTGTACATGGGCTCTTCCAAGCCCCAGGAGAGGCCTTGGCCCAATGTTCCTGGCAAATTTTATGTTATTTTCCTTACAGAGGGCCTCCCAAATTTATAACGTCCAGGCCCTATAAAGCCCACCTCCACTTTTAGATCCAGTCACGTCTGTGTCCCCTTTAGACTGTGAGCTCCTTGAGGACAGAAAACGCGTCTCGTTCCCAGCTGTAACACTGGCGCCCAGCGTGTTGCAGAGACTCCAAACGTGTTTGCTGGATTGAATTTAAGAGTTCTGGACAAAGATCCGCTCATAACTTGGGATGGGACAGGGTAGCTGAAGGAAAAATACGGAAGCTTGGAAAAAGGCAAAGAAAATGTGTCTCAGGGAAACTTATCTTTTATAGGGTGAATTTTTCTGTAAATGCTCGGACCAGAGTTCACAGTCTCAGAAGTTTACGGCTTCCATCGTGAGCCCTTGAGAACATGATGAAGTCAGGGACCCCGGAGAAGAGGGCAGGTGGCCTGGTGCCCGGGGTGGGTGGGTGCTGGAGGGGACTCTGGGCTGGTCCTCAGGCATTAAGTGTAGGTGGGGTGAGGGTACTGGGGGTGGGCAGCCACGGGGATGGTGAAATGGCTGCTGGCCGGGGCAGGGAGCCTTGGCACTCTGCTTTGTTTACGAGGGCTGGCAACCCCTCCAAGTGTTCACAGAGATGAGCTGAAAACAGGAAGTCCTAAATGAGCTGTGACTCAGGATTACCCATCTGCTGCTCTGGGGACCTGAGACGGGGCCGCCGTGAACTCCCTGACTCCGAAGGTTCACATCCACAGCCCGCCTCCCCTCCCATCGTCTCCCTTCCGTGCCTCTCCTCTTCTTTCCCTCCTCTCTCTGCCTTCCTCTCCTTCTCCCTCTCTCCTCCTCCCTCTCCCCATCCTTCCTCTCTCCCACACTCCTTTGCGTTCTCTCACCCTTTCCTCTCACTTTTAATATCATCATCTCCTCTTTGTCTCTTTCCTCCTTTGTTTTTCCTTTGTCGCTTCCTTCTTCTTTCCTTTTTCTCCAATCTCTTCTTTTCACCTCCTCCTCTCCCCACCTCTGCCA